TATGAGTTTGTTTTTGTTTTGCTTATTTATTTATTTTTAGATTCCACATATGAGTGAAGTTGTACTGTTTTTGTCTTTCTCCTTCTGACTTATTTCACTTAACATAATACCCTCAAGGTCCATTCCTGTTGTCACAAATGACAAGATTTCAATCTTTTGTTTGAAGGAAGAGTTTGAGAAGGGTAAGTATTAAGTCTTCTTTGAATGTTTGGTAGAATCACCAGTGAAGCTATCTGGTCCTGGACTTTGTTTGTTGGGAGTTTTTTATTACTGATTCAATCTCCTTGCTAGTAATCAGTTTATTCAGATTTTCTATTTCTTCATGATTCATCTTGGAAGATTCTATATTTTGGGGAAATTTTCCATTTCTTCTAGGTTGTCCAATTCATTAGCATATGATTATTTGTGGTATAATTGTAACTTTAGTTGTAACTTCTCTTTCATTTCTGATTTTATTTGAGCCCTCTCTTTTTCTTGGTTAGTCTAGCTAAAGGTTTGTCAATTTTGTTTATCTTTTCAAAGAACCACCTCTCAATTTTACTGATCTTTTTTATTTATTTATTTTTAGTCTTGATTTATTTGCACTCTGATCTTTGTTAATTTTTTCCTTCTACTAACTTTAGGCTTCGTTTATTCTTCTTTTTCTAGTTCCTTTGGGTTTAAAGTTAGATTATTTGAGGTTTTTCTTGTTTCTTGAGGTAGGCTTTATCGCTGTGATCTTCCCTCTTAGAACCACTTTTGCTGCACCGCATAGATTTTGGTGTGTCATATTTCTGTTTTCATTTGTCTTCATATATTTTTAAATTTCTTCTTTGATTTCTTTGATGACCCATTGGTTTAGTAGCATGTTGCTTAATCTCCACATTTTTGTGGTTTTTCCAGTTTTCTTTTTGTAATTGATTTCTTGTTTTATTGCCATTGTGGTCAAAGAAGATGCTTAATATAATCTCAATCTTGGGGCACCTGGGTGGCTCAGTCGGCTCAGTGTCCAACTCTTGGTTCTTGTTCAGGTTATGATCTCAGGGTTGTGAGATTGACCCTGTATCAGGCTCCATGCTCAGCAGGGAGTCTGCTTGAGATTCTCCCTCCCTTTCCCTCTGCGCCTCCTCTGCTCGTGCTCTCTCGATCTCTCTCTCTCTAAAATAAATACATAAATATTATAATCTCAATCTTCTTGAATTTATTGTGGCCTAACATGTGATCTGTCATGGAGAATGTTCCAAGTGCATTTGAAAAGAATGTGTATTCTGCCTTTGGCTGGGATTTTCTGCATGTGTCTACTAAGTCCATTTGGTCTAATGTGTCGTTTAAGGTCAGTGTTTCCTTATTGATTTTCTCTCTGGCTGCTCTATCCATTGATGTAAGTGGGGGTATTAAAGTGCCCTTCTATTATTGTATTGCTGTCAAGTTCTCCCTTTAGGTCTGTTAATATCTGCTTTATATATTTGGTGCTCCTACAGTGGGTACATATATATTTACAAACGTTGTGTCTTCTTGCTGGATTGACCCCTTTATCATTATGTAATTCCCTTCTTGGTATTTTATTGTAGTCTTTGTTTGAAAGTCTATTTTGTCTGATATGAGTATAACTACACCAGCTTTCTTTTCATTTCTATTTGCATGGGCTGTCTTTTCCTATCCCTTCACTTTCAGTCTGTGTATCCTTACTTCTAAATTGAGTCTCTTGTAGGCAGCATAGAGATGGGTCCTTTTTTTTAATCCACTCAGCCATTTTATGTCTTTTGATTGGACAGTTTATTTGCATTTAAAGTAATTAATGATAAGCATGTACTTACTGCCATTTTGTAATTGTTTTCTGCCTGTTTTCTTAGTTCCTCTCTGTTCTTTCTTCTCTTTTCTCTCTTCCCTTGTGGTATGATAGCTTTCTTTAGTTTTGTGTTTAGGTTCTTTTCTCATTTTCTTTGTGGTATTTACCAGGAGTTTTTTTCTTTGTGGTTACTGTGAGGTTCACATATAACATCCTGTGTTTATAATAGTTTGTTTTAAGATGAGAACAGCTTAAATTTGAACACATTCCAAACTATCTTTTTACTACACCCCCATTTTATATTTTTGATGTCACATTTTACATATTTATATTTTATGCATCCCTTAACTATTGTAGTTTTAATTAATTTTATTACTTTTGTCTTTTAACCTTCATACTTGCTTTAGAAGTGATTGAATCTACTACCTTTACTATTTACCTTTTCCAGTGAGATTTTTACTTTCGTATGTTTTATGTTATTAATTAGTGCCTTCTCTTATCAGCTCAAAAAAAGTCTCTTTAATATTTCTTGTAAGGCCAGTTTAGTGATGATAAACTTCTTTAGTTTTTGTTTATCTGGAAAATTTCCCTTTTTCCCAGCTTTATTAGGTAATTATTATGCAATTGGCTGATTGTAAGAATACAGTTAGATGATTTTTAGTACATTTATACAATTGTGCAACCATCACCAAAATCCAGTTTTAGAACACTTCCATCATCTCAGAGTTTCCTTGCTTGTGCCTACTTAGTCAATTCCTATTCCTATTCCCAGCCCCAGGTAACCACTGATCTGCTTTCTGTCTCCGTAACTATTCCTTTTCTAGAAATTTTATAAATGAGACATTTTAAGGCCTAGAATGTGGTCTATCTCTGCAAATGTTCTATATGCCATTGAAAAGAATCTGTATTTTGCTGTTTTTGAATGGAATGTTCTACAAATGTCAAGTAGGTCAAGCTAGTCTATATACTATTATCCTAATTGATTTTCTGTGTACTTGTTCAATTGATTTTTGAGAGAGGTTTAAAATCTCTTAGCTATGGAGATTGCTTCTGACAGTTCTATCAATGTTTGTTCGTGTTTTGATGCTCTGTTATTATATGTGTAAGTGTTTAGGACTATTATGACCTCTTAATGAATTGACTTAACTTTTTTTTTTAATCCCTGGTCTGTCCTTTGTTCTGAAATCTATTTTGTATTATCCTATTACAGACCCCAGCTTTCTTTTGAATAGTGTTAGCATGGTATATATTTTTTCATACTTTTACTTTTAACCTATTTGTATCTTTATATTTAAGCTGTATTTCTGTAGACAACATATAGTTAGGTCTTCTTTGTTTTATCCAATCTGATAATTGCTGCCTTTAGTGAAATTGTTTAGACCATTTACATTCAATGAGACAATAGAGTTATATTTAAATCTACTGTCTTACAACTTGCTTTCTGTTTTGCACATCTGTTTTTTGTTCCATTTCCTCATTTTCTTTTTCTTTGAATTGAGTATGTATTATGATTCCATTTTATCTCCTTTGTTGACTTACTAGCTGTAATTTTTTTTTGTTTTATTCTTTTTGCGGTTTCCTTGGGATTATAGTATACCTTTTAACATACCACAGTCTATCTTCAGTAAAATTATACTCCTTCATATGTATATAGTATAAGAACTTACAACAATATACTTCCATCTCTCTCCTCCCAGCCTTTGTTTTGTTATTGTCATATATTTCACTTGTACATGTTATAAATCCCATAGAAAATTGTTATTCTGCTCTAGTCAGTAATCTTTTATTTTTTTTTTTAAGATTTTATTTATTTGTTTGACAGAGAGAGAGAACACAAGCAGGGGGAGCGGCAGGCAGAGGGAGATGGAGAAGCAGGCTCCCTGCTGAGCAAGGAGCTCAATGAGGGGCTCGATCCCAGGACCCTGGGATCATGACCTGAGCCAAAGGCAGATGCTTAACCGACTGAGCCATCCAGGTGCCCCTAAATAGTCAGTAATCTTTTAAAGAGACTTAAATAATAAGACAAAAGTCTTTTATGCTTACCGACATAGTTACCATCTCTGGCACTCTTTATTCTTTTGTGTTGATTCAAATTTCTATCTAACTGAAACTTCCTTTAACCTTTCTTATACTATATATCTACTGGTAATGAATCCTTTCATTTTCTCTACATCTGGAAAGAAATCAGTGAATTTTTCTTTTAGATTTCATACTTTTGATCTCTAGAAGTTGCATTTGGTTATTTTTTCTGTTGCCTGTTTCTCTATTCCTTATGTTCATTTTGCTTCCTTCAGCAATGTTCATTAATTCCTTCAGCATATGTGTAATAGCTCTTCTAACATTCCTATCTTTTTGTTGTATTATCTCTATCACTTGTATGTATCTATTGACTGATTTTTTTCTCCTGGTTATGGATAGTGTGAATTTTACATAGATAAATGCTGGTTGTTTTTTTTTTTTATTCCTTTAAAAAGCATTAGACTTTACTTATACAGGTACTTAAATTACTGGATTAGTTTGATGTTTTCAAGGCTTGTTTTTAAGCTTTCTTTTGGTAGTTTTAGAATAGGCTTTATTCTAAGGCTAGGTTAGCTTTGCTACTAAGGCATGATCCCTCTGATGTTACCTCTGAATTCCTCTGGTGTTCAACGAAGATTAACTCTAGTTGGTGAGAACTCCTATCTCCAAGTTCTGTGTGAGCTCTGGTAGCTGCTCAGTTTACAGCTCCCCAGATATTCTTTGCCTGGTCTCCTGTAGTTTTACCCTATTCATATATGACTTAGCATTTAGCAATCAAATCAAGAGGATACCTATGCAGATTTCTGGACCTCTTTTCCATGCATCTCCCTCCTCTCTGGTACTCTGCCCACAAATTCTGCCACTCAGCCTTCCTTAACTCTGATCTCTGTTTATTCAACTCAGCAATACTATCAAGTTCTGATTTTGATCACCTCTCTGTTTTGTAGTCTGGAAAGTGCCTCTAGGTGGATAGCTGAGACAATCATAGGGATCACCTTAATTGTCTCTCTTTTCTCAGGGACCACAGTGTTGCACTGGCTGTTGTATAATTTCCAAAAAACAGTTGTTTCATTCACTTTATCTAGTTTTCCAATTGTTTATGGCAGTAGAGTAATTCTGTTCTGATTATTTTATCAAGGCTATAGAAGCAGAAATTGATTTCATTCAATTTTAAAATCAGCAATTTACAGCAATCTTTATTTTGGTTTTACAGGGCAAAGAAAGAGATTGAATACCAGGAACTGATGTTTCTTTTAACTGGAGGAGTAAGTCTTAAGAGTGCTGAGAAAAATCCTGATCCAACTTGGCTACAGGATAAAAGCTGGGAGGAAATTTGCCGTGCAAGTGAATTTCCTGCTTTCAAAGAACTCAGGTAATTATTTAAACTTGATGACAGCATTGAATAAGGATAGGTAAATTTGTAATCTCCTTGTTTAACAATCTCTTTTTAAATTAGTCTCCAATGAAATAATAACTACTAAGCTTTTTGTCCATTAGGAAGCATTTTTGTGAACATATAACTGAATGGCGGGAAATTTATGACAGTAAAGAGCCATACAATGCTAAATTTCCAGTACCAATGGATGAAAAACTAAATGAGCTACAGAAAATAATAATTCTTCGGTGCTTAAGACCTGATAAGGTAAAAAGACAAATGTGTTCTATTTGGAATCCAGTTAATTTGCCATTTAAGAATAAGTCCTGGGAATTAAAGGCACAACATAAGGAATACAGTCAATGATATTGTGAAAGCAGTGTAATGGGACAGATGGTAGCTACACTTGTGGTGAACATAGCATAATGTAAAAACTTACTAAATCTAAGTTGTACACCTGACACTAATGTAACAATGTACGTCAACTATACTCAAAATTTTTTT